GCCAAAGCCATCATTAGGGCTGCTGTCACCCAGTGAAGCTATCCTATCTATTCTTTCTGCAGAATCCCTAACAGCTAGTTCCAAACTATTTCTCCAGATCAGGACATCTATCATTTCATTGGAAAATCACTATAAATATTTCTGTCAACAAAAAAAATTCAAAATGTTATTTGTGATTGGAAGTGCTAATGAACCATTTTCTATTCCTAGATAACTTTTTGTAACATACAAACTGAACATTCAGAACTCCTTGTATGTTGCCAATTCATCCTGTGTGAATTCAGAAAGGCATAGAATACATTGGTTATTACATCTAAATAATACTTTGGGTATCACAGAGATGTACAGGGGAAAAAAATAAATCATATCTACTTCCTATGCATGCATATAAGCTACAGACTTACATACCTTATATATGTATACAGTGTCATGTTGTTAGAATGTTGCATTATTTAAGCGTCTTAATAGGGCCAGAATATCTGCTGGAGTTCTACCAAAATAATTTGAGCTCTCAGTTAAGCAATTTGTTGACATCCTGCACATGAGTAATTAGGATACCATCTGTACGTTTTCCATGCCACACATGTAGGAACAGATAGATGTACTTCTCACTATCAATAGTAGTTATCAAATGTCTTCCTTACACCCAGTACCCAAAATGTGCCCTCAGCTTGTATCATACAAATATGTCAGAAGTAAGACTGAAGTCAATGTTTTTCTCGAACAAATGTACATTCTGTTCAAAATGTTTCAGAACATTTCGTCACAGCTTAATGCAAAATTTCGTTCTCTTACTGCCCAGTGTTAATCATTTTGAACGGTGTTAATCACATTTTCTTTTCTCTGTACTGTGTGATAAACAAACATTAAAAAACAGGAGGTTAATATTTTAGAGATTTTTTTTTTTTTTAACTGAAACAAATTCAGGACTAAGGCTAGAATCCAGACTGTTTTACACAAGTTCAAATTCTGTTGAAGTGGCTTAAATCCATGTATTAGTGTACTGTACTAAAGCCAATATTTTTATATTACCTCCTGCCTGCCGATAACGTAGATGTCGTGGAGTTGAAGGGGATCTACATGGAGAGAGCTCAGGAGGATCTACTGTTGAGGCACTTTCTGGAATAGGATGATCAACTGGTACAGATTCCAAAACTCCTGCTGTAAAAAAATATGTACTATAGGAATACAGGAAATATACTAAACTCTGATTCTAAAAATTTAACTTTCAGTGTGCAGATTTACTACAAAACACACATCTTGAAAATGCAAATGTATTTTGTATCTGGGCAGTATATAACCATCATTTATAATTCCACATATAAAAAAAATAATTGAAAGAAAAACATTATTATATCTCAACAGGTCTTTAAATTGATCAGCACAACATCAAGTAATTCATGAATCAATTGTGTGTATGGGTGTGTATGAGATATTCACTTGATGCAAAACTGTGTTAAAGTTGCAGTGGCATCTGTTTGGACACTATTGATTAATAGAATTTTTGGCATCCATATTATCCACATGCCAGTGCCTCCTTAAATAAACCACATCTTTTCTTAGGTTTGCACAGCAGCCAAGCAACCACAGGAAAACACATTTTTGGATTAAGGAGGTGCCGGCATAAGGTACTTTGAAGTGGGCAACGGTGCAGTGTCAGTACCTCCTTAACTCAATTCAACAATTCAATTATAATTTAGGGAGTTGTGATATTACCAAGTTTGAAATATCAATTTTGTGTTTTTTTGCATCTGTGCTATTCAGATAGGTCTAATGGTACACACAAAACCTCAGAATCCAGGCTAAGGAAACAAGGAAGCAATTTGAATCACAAGACGGCTTAATGAAAAGAGAAAACAAATAGCTCTCCAGAATTTATTGTTTGCAAAAATAACCATTTTTGTATTAAATGTTAACTGAGAAAAGCTTTTCTTTTCAGTGTTGAGATTTGATTTAGTTCTACCTCTATGAAAAAAAAATCCTTTCATCTATCAAATACTACACATTAATATATAAAATAAATCACCACTGAGTTGATTTAGCTGAGGAGATTTTTTTATATAAGATTATCCCCTTTATAACATTATCCTTATATGAGGTTGGAAGAATAGACAAGTTCAGATATTACCAGCTTAATTCCTAAGGTTCTATTCATCACAGGAGATATCAAACATTACTTCCCCATGGTATCACATCCTAGCATATCTTTCATTTTGTTATCAGACTCTGCACATGTTGCAATATTTATGCCTCAAAAGATGCTCCCTAAAAATAATGATGGTTCTGTACCAAAATTCCAGCTTCTCCATCCAGAATACTAAAATTCAGGATAATAAAATCATGGCAATGAATTGTTTCCAGATGTAAGCTTACTATGTTCCATTTGTTGATTGGGAAAGAACTTGATAATGAAGAACAGATCTGACATCCAGATTTTACATTGTATTTGGCACTAGTAGCTATTTTTTTTAAAGTGGAACTTTATAACTTTTCTAAGGTTAAAACAATTTCCTAACAGTGAAAACTCAACAATGGGACCAGTTATCCAGAGAAATAGTGGGTTCCCACTCATTGGCTGGATTCAGGCACAGGCTAGAGGGCCATCTGTCCTGGATATTTTAAGCACGTGGCTTCCTGCAGAGAGCAAGGCTTTGGACTTGATGTTTTATATGGCCCCTTCCAATCCTGTGTTTCTCACATTCATTATTAACTTTCTCACAAGATTAGGCACTTCTTCTTCAGTAGATGCTCCTAAACAATTCTTTAGGCTGTAAGAAAATCCAAATATCTCATATTATGAACTAAAAGAAATCATGCAAATCAATACTTGCACAAATTAGCTTGTTTTGAATAACTCTTTTATCTCAGTGATTTTTATTTATATGGTTAGCTTGACACTTTTTAAATATTAATGTATATGCTGCTGCCAGATAGCAACATTGACAAATGGCAAAACAGGTATCGTTTTTAATGTTTAGCTTTTTTTTTTTTGCTTCTTTTTTTAAAAAAATGAGATTTACTATAGAATTTTGTTGGCTTCAAAACTGTACAGAACCTCTACAGAAAAGACTATTGAATAAAATAGGAAAATGGTTTCTCATTTGTATTTTCTGTATTTCGTTGGTGTTTTTTGATTGTATGCCACTTACAAATAAATATTAAGTCCACATTTTCTGTGTTATGAAGGTATATAACAGAAAGTTCTTGAAGGAGTGCACCTTAGTAACCAGGATTGATTGATTTAAACCATTTATATGGCTACCCATATCAACAGTGACTCTGGATGGTGTACAGAAAGTTTAAAGCCAAACTAAAATCAAACAGTAATCCACCTAATCACAGTCCAAGAACAAGAAAAGCATTTCTAGTTTACCAGTTCAACAATCAATTGGTCAACCACTCAACTAGCAGAGCTTGTTAATGTCCCAGCCCAAATGCCTGTGGGAATAGCCATATTTGAAGTGCCTTACAATAGACTAACAGGATGGGGACTCTACAAATCTCTGAGGGGATGCTGTATTTTGTCCCACAAGTCAGCACTGCAACAAAACACATGACTCCTTGGTCCAGCAAGATGACATTGTTTGACAGAAGGGACCTGAAGCATGCTCCCCTTGCCAGATCTGGTGAAGCAAACAGAAATAATTGGAAACAGGAGGTCCTGCAAGTAACCTGTGTTATATAAAGTGTTATAGGTGGCAACTAGCATCTTGAATCATACCCAGAAGCCCACTGGGAGCCAGCGCAGTTCATGGAGCAGCCGTGCTTTATGAATGTAATGTGAGACACCAAATATTGCCTGTGCTGGTGCATTCTGGACCGTCTGCAGTAGCCCAAATGAGAGGTGAGTAAGGCATGAATCACCCTAGGTCCTCCCAGTCCAGAAACATGTGCATTTGACAGAAGTAATTAACATTTCTCTATTCTGTTTATAGGGGTTAAATTCTGTTTGCAATCACATTTACAGTGGTACCTCGGGATACGAACTTAATCCGTTCTGTGACTCTGGGCGTATCCCG